GCCTCTCTGCTTTCCACCCACCACGTGGTGACCTGCCTGGCCGAGACCACCTAGGCTAATGAAACCCTCCGGTACGTTCCGAGCTCTCCCACCCCCATTGTGGGGGCCAGCCAGTCAGCAAGCGGCTTGGCCATCCAACATTCCTTTTCCCCTTTCGTCACTTTTACCTGGCAACGCAGTAACATTCCTTCCTTCATTCGTTCGCTTAGGGAGCTTGTACTGAGTATCTCCTGGATGCGCTTGTATCACGAGTTTGCTAGTCTTTGGAACACTACACAAAGAAAGTCCCAATTTGGAGGAAGAGGCCCAGGGAGAGGTAGTAAGGAGAGAGGTTTCTATGAGGTGCTAGGGGCCCGATTATGAGCAGAGATGTTCTTAAGTTGTTGCAAAATAAATCATGACACTGTTAAGTCTCAAAGTTGTGCGAATTATCTACAGGGTGCTCATGGGTCTTTTAAGTGAAGGAGAGTATTCACTGGCATTAATCTCTCCAGATATTGGAGGAGACCCTTGGAGTTTGCAGAATGTTTTTCCCACCCACAAAGAAAAACTTCCTTGGCTGGATGTGCCTTTGAAAATACGTCCCTTTCATGGGTGTTTGCCTGTGCAAAGTGGAGTCACCTCCTTTATTAGTATGGTGTGGCACACGGTTTTAAGGAGCAGTTTATCGAAAGGATAGGAGACTCCCAAATGGGGCAGGAGAGCACTTGTGAGATAAACACTTTTATGAGCCCACTGTGTCTCAAAATTACATAGGAGCTGTAAAATGGGAGAACCTAACAACAGCAAATACTTATTGACTCTTACTATGTACCAGGTACTGTCCTAACTGCATTGCATTTAATAATTCATGTAATCCCCTACTATCCTATTAGGTAGGTACCATTACCACTCCATTTTATAGATAAGAAAACTAAAGCAGAGAGAGGTTAAATAATTTTCCAGAGTCACACAATTATACGTAAGGGAAGTAGAATTTGAACTCAAAATGTCTGAACACAGTATCCATAAGCTTAGCCTTGTGCCATAATGTTTCATGAGATTTCAGATTTATGGTATGTAATTCATAAATGATTAGTATCCAGAATATATAAAGATCTAAAAGCACATAAGTAAAAGACAGCCTCCAAAAAGTGAGTAGAAAACACAAACAGGCCCTTTACAGGAGAGAAAACACAAAATGGTCAATTGACATAAGATACTCAAGCTTTAGCAGTCCAGAGAATACAAAAGTATCTTCAGATACCTACAGATTTAGCAAAAATTAAAGAGCAGGCAATAAATAAGTGTTGGTGAGGCTATAGATTAATACTAGTGGGGCGGGGGAAGTTTGGCATTATGGAAAAAACGCTGCTCCTATGCATATACAGAGAACAATGCTTTGCCTGACCTCAATGTTTATTAATATGGCATACATGTGATTAGGGTGCCAGCAAAGCGTATGTTCTGTACACACACACACACACACACACACACACACATTCAGCTTTGATGAATTTATCTGGAACTTCACGAATAAAAAACCTAGAAAAATGCAACATCACCTTTGGAGTTTCTTGCAAAAATATTGAAATTGTTGAACCCATTCAGACAAATACAAAATACTGTGGCATTTTCTACAAAACACTTGGCCAGGATACTTCAAAATGTTAATGTCATGAAAGATTAAAAACAGACACCCAGGAAGTGATCCAGATCACAGGAAGAGCCCAAGTGTAATATAGTACATGATACTTGATTAAAACCTAGATTAAAAAAAATCTGGGGCACTTATAATTGAGACAAGTAGGGAAATTTGAATAAACTATATATTAGTTTATGATCTTATTGTATCAAGATCAAATTTCTTAGGTGTAAAAATGATACTGTGGTCATCTAAGAAAATGCCCTTTTTCTTAAATAAATACTGAAGAATTTCAGGGTAAAACATCATAATGTCTGAAACATTAAGTAGTTCAAAGGAAAAAAACAGCAAATATAAAAAAGTGTTAAAAATTTGTGACTCGTTGGTTACAGAAATGTTGATTTTACTAGTCTTTCAACTCTTCTGTGGGCTTGAAATTTTTCAAAATAAGAAGTCGGAGAATTTTCATTTACATCTAGAAATTTTGTCTTCAGTTTACTTGTACATACCACCACTTTGAAAAATGAAATCTGATTTGGAATTACATATGGAGAGTCACCCTTCATATTGTTTTCATTATTCAAAGCTTCTAAAGTCCTTAATCCTACCCAGGTGTGGGGTGATGTCTACAAGAAAACAAAACAAACACAGGCAGCATATGCTGGGAACTGGGTGAGAAATTAAACTGTGTTCTAAGAACTCAGTAGGATGAGAAAGCAATCCAAGTTGGGGTGATCAGGGAAGCCTTCGTGGAAGAATTGGCAGTTGTTCTGAACCTGAGGCCCAAAAGAAAGCAAGCTCTCCTTAATTCCAGCCTTGATAGCCAAGTGAAGAGATGGGCCCATCTGTGGCCAGATATTCCCATTTTTTTTCAAAATAAGCTGAAAATCTGGATTTTAATGTCAAATCTCTCTCTTTTTTAAATGACAACTTTAAAAGTTTTGCAAAAACAGGATGCAGGGCAAACAAAAATGATCAAAATACCTGATCAGTGTTCAAGTTTCCCAATTGTCTCAATTTTTGTGTTTAAATAAAAATCCATTCAAGGTTGCCATATGACATTAATTGATATGTTTTTTAGGTGTCTTTTATTCTGTAGATAAACCCTGCTTTCTAACATCTCTGATCACTGTGAAGCTTACCACTCATTCATTCATTCAGTAGGTAAGTCATTCAATGTAATTTTTACTGACCACCCACTCTGTGCCCAGCAGAGTGGGGAGAAAGAGACAGGGAAAGAACCCTGCCTTCCACTGATTCTAAGTTAATGATTAGACGTCAGGGCCCCCTTAGACAGATGTTTCCTTGGGGTTAGAGCAACTCTCTAGGGAGCTCCCTTGAGATTGTCTGTACATTTCTCAGAAAAATATTTGAACTAAAGGCTGCCAGTTTGGGGAGAGTGAATCTATACGGAGCCAACTGAGACTCAGAGCTGGGAAAGAACCCAGGCAGCTCCTCCCCTCTCCTCCCTTAT